TCTCAAGCCCAAGATCAATCATCTATCATCTACTCACAGCTGCTTCAGACCCCCCTAAATACACCCCAATAGCAATATCAATCACCGTCTATCATGCCTAGCAGTAGCTACATCAATGCACTAGTACACTCTCTCTACGATGAGAGTCAGGAGACCAACGTTGTCACGTTAAGCTATCTAGCTTGTTCTATCAAGAGTAAATGGTTCTATCCGGTAGGCTTGAATCGTGAATGAATCATCATGACCCCCAAAAACCATGACTATCGCTCGATCATTTTTACCTTTGATTTCCGAATCCATTGACAATGGCATTTCGATGGTGGATTGTGACCTCCCAAGAATAGCCTTGTTGGAAAATCGAATATTATTTTCTTTTAGATCTTGCGTCCAAGTATAGATTCCAGGATTATTGCAACAAGATTCGCCATATTGAGCTTATTTGAGCAGAAAGTTGATTTGGCAGTTTTCGTGATCGGTCAAAGAATGGATTGCGGAGAATAAGCCTACAATAACTTTCAAGCAAACACGTTCACTACCAATCTATAGTGAATTCATTAAATTCAAAGTATAAATGTGCTACGGTAGCCTAGAGGCTACTTAAAAGACAGTATATGAACGAAACCTTCACACCATCCACTCGATTTTCGGAAATTACAAAATTGTAACCAAGGGCTCTAGATCATCGATTTTCAGTCGTGACTGGAGTCCCAGCTGGCGGAGTAGTGAAGGCGTCTGTGTGTCAGTACGTCTACTGAGTCCAACAAGAAGTCTCGTTGTTGAAGTATCGATATCGCAATGACAGTGGATACCATTGAAGACAATGCATTCTATGAGTATGTGAATCACTTGTGAATGTTTAGCTATACACAAGGGACTTCGCGAGATTGGTCTCTATGCCTTTAGTGGCTGCATATCATTTGTCTGAGGTGCTCATATATACCTTCCACGGCACGACGGACAATCCGCTGTGATGCGTTATTACGGGATTGCGTTTCATTATGTACGACTCTATCAATTCCATCTACCGTATAGGTGCGGGTGGATTGGAGGCAATAATTCGTTTACTGGATGTCATAATCTACTTGGAGTCGAATTTCCAGAGGAACCACCTCTGTATATGCTGTGCGGCTCATCATCCTTCAATGATTGTCCAGCACTTGTCAATGCATGTTCCTTCCTACTTCTCCATTCACAGGACGCTTCTTCAACGACGACGGTCCAATGGCAAATGAGCTTGCACGCAATCATGCTGCTGCCGGTATAGTCCTTTGTCAAGAATAGTTGACAGATACTCCCATTTACCAATCCACCAAATGCTGCTGTTATTCATAGAGCAGTGCTGCAAGTGAATTGACGCGACTACTCCCAAGATTCCAGCGATAGTGAGATGAATCAGAAGGATGAGTGCGGAATGACGGCATTCCATATTGTTGCAACTTTTGCAAAGATTCGCTCCGATTATTTCCACTTGCTTCTGGACAAATAAGTATTCTATTGACACTCTTTCATTCCGAGATAATCAAGGCAAGACTGCGTGATGGACTACAAAATTGAAGAATTCAACTCCAAACGCCATTCCACTCATGAGCCCATTGGTGCATACGACCATTGTGCAACAAATGAATAGATTCGGCATGAAACAATGGACGAGGGGAACTGTGGTCACTAATCCATCCATTCAGTGGGTTGGAATGGCAATACGGAGACCCGACGCCATCGATTGTTTGGACACTGTTTTGGCAACATTATCTGGCCGCGTCAAGGGAGAAGCGACTTCTCTTCTGGAGCTCGCACTATGGAAGGAAAACGTCAAGACTTTATAAACTGAGGACTCACTCATTCTTTGGTCCTCTGAGAAGTACTAAGCGACGCAAGGTGGATCGAAATACTTGCCAAGTGACATGTGTGGAGCTTCGGTTGTCATACCGAGTGTATAGTTGGTTTCCTTCGGGATATAAGAGCGTTACTGTTCCGTTTGATCTTTCAATGCTTCCAACAGAGCTTTCTTGGATGAGAAAACAGAGAAAATAAATCGATGATTGGACATGGGGATCGCCGCAGGTGCACGCAGGTCGACTTTATCTCAGAGTACGGGCTGGAACAGTTTGCGGGTCTGAGTCTCTCTTGCCGGATGATTAGTATTATATATAAAACAATTTGGTCTACTCAGTAGACAACGCACAGCAAACAAAATTAACTTCAACCTCCACCAGAACTCGGTTGTCTGATTACTCATCTTTTGCACTTTTTTCATGTCTTTCCAACCATAGAAACAACCGCGCACACATTCCAATTTTGCAAACCTACTGCCGTGTATGTTGAGGATTTCTTGGCCTACAAGACACCTTGGCAAAAACGGCTTTCCAATACACCTGAAGCGGAACAGAGTTGAGTATCATAATATGTATATATTATAATTGCGGCAAGAGACAGAAGTGACAGGTACTGGGCAAAAAGGCAGAAGCACGTTGGACGGTATGCTGTACCCGTACTAAATTAATGAACCGCAAATGAAAAATCCGATCCCTCCGACTAACATATAACCTCATCACGCATGCGTTCAATATAATATGCGAGCGTAGGTCAACCCATCACATACACAACAAGCCAACACTGCGAAGTCCACACCTACCGAAAGGATTGTACAAAACCCCAAGCGACTGAAACAGGATCAATCTCCATTTATCTAGGATGAAACCAACGCAGACATTACGCACACATCTATGAACAACAAAGATTGAACGATGGACAGTAATACAAGAAACGAAGACGAATCATCATCCACATCATCCGATGAAACTAGCTTCACTTTCGATGGGCGAGTCCGCGACGAGATTCCTACCAACGTTGCACATCTCAAAATTCTGTCTTCCGTCGACTGGAGTTTTCCCTCGTACGATTTTTTGGAGCTTGAACGACTTGTACATAATGTCACATTTGAGCATGGAATCAAGACGATAGGCGACTATGCCTTCATGTACTGCGAGTCATTGCGTGAAGTATCGATACCTCCAACAGTATGGATCATTGAAGCGGGTGCATTCTATGAGTGTGGATCACTTGTGAATGTGGAACTACACGAAGGACTTATTGAGATTGCATGCGAGGCCTTTGCTTGCTGTAAATCATTGTCTCATGTGTCCATACCTTCCACAGTACAGACAATTGACGATGAAGCATTTCGGGATTGCGCCTCATTATGTGTGGTATCTATCCCATCTTCGACCGAAACAGTCGGCGAAAGAGCTTTCGCGGGATGTGAAAGTCTTCTTGCAGTTGAATTTTCAAAGGAACCATCTTTGAAGACGTTGTACAGCTCATGCTTTGATGAATGTCCAGCACTTGTCAACGTGTTCCTTCCTTTCCCTATCGAAGATATAGAATTCCTCGACAGAGATGACAGTTCAGCAATAGCCAATCGACTTGCAAGCAAGCATGCTGACGGTAGTCCATTGTCAAGAATAGTCAATAGATACGCGCAGTTACCGATCCACAAATGCTGCTATTATTCATCGAGCAGCACTGCAAGTGAGCTGGAAAATCTACTCAAAGCGTCCAACGATATTGATAATCATCAGAATGACGACTTTGGAATGTCTCCATTTCATATTGTTGCAACTTCTGCAAATCTTCGCGTTGATTTATTTCAAATGCTTCTGGACGCGTATCCTACTGACGTTCTGTCCCAAAGAGACACTATAATGGCAAGACCATGCTGGACTACCTGCTGGTGAACTCAACTCCAGGATCTGTTCTGCTCATCAAGCTAGTGCTCCAAAAGACCATTATCGAGAAAATGTCTCGATTTGGGATGGAACCATGGACGATGCAACTGTTGTCACTAATCGAGTCCTCCTCGCTGAATTGGAATAGTAATCTGGAGACGCGACGCCAATGTCTATATAGTGTGCTGGCAAAATTATCTCTCTATGTCATGGTGGAAGCTATACCAGTCCTGGAGCTCGCACTATGGAAGGAAAAACTCAAGCCTCTGCGAGAGATCGATGAGTCATTATTTGTTGGAAGAAATACTATGCAACGAAAGGTTGATCGACATAACTGTCGAGTAACAAATGGAGCGTCTATTGTGATACCGAGTGTGATTGGATTCCTTGGTAGGAAGAGCGCCACAGTTCCTTTTGATCTTTCAATGCTCCCATTAGGGGTCTCGTGGATGAAAGCTGAAAAGATCGATTGAATGAATCAATCGCACGATTGGGCATTCAAAAAGCGGAGACCACCGCAGCTCCATCAATTTTCTTCGGTACGGTGTCGTACAACGTTACATCGCAATCTGTTTCAATCTCAAAAATTCCTTTGCCGCCAAACTCAACCACGAACGGACCAATGCATTCCCTTGATCCCCTCATTCCCTTCCATTTTCAGTCGATTTTACCCGCGATATCAATGCACATTAAAACTTGCAAAATCAAACGGATGGGATAAGCAATACTGCAGATCGGTTCAGCGATTTAGAGTCGAATTTTCAAAGGATCCCTCTCTGCTTGGATTGCACAGCGCATGCTTCAATGGATACCAAGCACTAGTCAACGTCCTTCCTAATCCCTCGGAAGATGTTGAAGTTCATGATGGAGATGATGGAGATGACACTCAAGTTGCATAAGAACTCTCAAGGAATAATGCTGCTGGTAGTCCGTTGTCAAGAGTAATCAACAAATACTCTCTGTTACCAATCCACAAATGCTGCGATTATGCTTCTGGCAGCATGGCAAGAAAGCTGGAAAGTCTAATCCAATTTTTTTCGGCAACCAAGATGAGAGGAATTTGGAAAGATGCCTATGAAATGACTCCACTTCACGTGCTTGCAACATCTGCAACCCTTCGCCTCGATTTACTCCAAGTACGTCTGGACAATGATTGTCCTCTTGAAGTTCTGTCCCAGAGAGACGATCATGGATCGACCATGCTACACTACTTGTTGAAAAATGGAAGTCTAGGATCCGTGGCACTCATCAGGTTGGTGCTTCAAAAGGCCATTCTCGAAAAAAACCTCGATTTGGAATGGAAGAATGGAGGGTGGAATTTAGTCACTAATAGAGTCATTGGATCGGAATGACGATTGGGATACCCGACGCCAATCATGCATTGGCTAGGGTGCTGGCAAACGTATCTCTGTTGGCAGAATCGAAACCTCTTTTGGAGTGCGCGCTGTGGAAGAAGACTGTCAAAAGGCTCTCGAGAAAGTGTCATTCTTTGTCCCACGAAGATTCAAGCGACGAAAGGTGGATGTCACTTGTCAATTGATTAGTGGAGCTTCCATTGTGATTCCGAGTGTAATTGGTTTCCTTTGAGATGATTGGAGCTACAGGGATCCAAATGACCCTTTCCATGCTCCCATCTGTGAGAGAATTTAGCGTGAACGATCCGTAATTCGCATTCAATCACCAGGAAACTCCTTTCTCTCTCCACACGGAAACTAATAAGACTGAAGATATAAACATGAATCAATAGGACTATATATTATTTTGCTACACACATATTCTATTTATCTTCACACAGAACTGTGAGACCTTTGCCAAAGTCGAGAATATTCTTCATCCATCATTCTGCAAAGATCCATCCCAAAATATACATCCGAGTCGTTACACATTGTATCCAGGATTGCCAGAGGGTACAAGGCGACTCGTTACTTGGTCGTGTATAAGACATGCATGCATTCCTCAAACACAACCTAGAGTACACTCAAACTTAGCTCTGTTCTCCTTCAAAGAAAATGGCATTCAAAAAGATGGAAGTCCCAATCAAAGCACCCTTTTGAGCAGGAGTGGCTTCCTTGGGAAAGTCCACAACAAAGGCCTGAGCATCAGTAAAGATTTCCACCATGGCCGACTTTGGCTTTCTGAGAATTTGTCCCAAATAAGGAGCATCTCCCTCGGTATCGTCCAAGCTAGGATCGTAGACTCGGAAGGAAACCTTGCAGCAACCCTTGCCACAGGGATTACCTTCGGCGCAACAGTTGACGCACATGCCGCCGCAGCAAGTGGGAGAATGAATCTTATACATGGGCTTCTCTTCGGGATCGAAAATAGTGAAGCGAGGGACACTGGAGAATATGATGATTTCGTGTGTGAGAATGGGAATGTGCAAATTCTGTGTCAATATGTACACAGCAACAACAGCATATACTTTTCATTAACTCACCAATAGTAACACTCCTCCTTAATCGAACCAACTGCTTCACCGCCGCTGGTAAAGCTAGCCTCTTGGTAGCAGCAGCACTTGCAACCCCCCACCGGACAGGCCAACGGTCGATCGACAGAAACCATTTCGGCATCCGTGTTGAGTTCCTTGACGACCATTTTGAAGGGATGAATGGCAGCGCAACACATGCGGCAAAAGCAATCCGTGTCTTCTAGACTGATAGCAATTTGGTCACCACCGATAAAGTACTTGAATTCCGTTTTGGCCTCGCAACCCAAAATTTCTTGCAAGAACCCACGACGGGTTTGACGGATTTCCATTTGTTCCGAATTTTGGACATGGCTCTTCAACGCAGAAGTGCCACGGTCCATCCAGGATGATTCAGGTGCTTTTCCCATCTTGTTGCTTTTGCGGTAGAGGAATAAGTGAGCAAGGTTGTGTGGATGAGTCGTACGGTATGGCCAAAACGACGATGTGTTTGTTATGATTGTTTTGAGTTCTGATTCTGTTTCTGTTGCTCGTGATGATGCATGCGTGTCAACATTTTCGAAAAAAAGATACTTATGGGGCCGTATACGCAGTACTGAACATACGTACATTCGAATCTTCAATGGTCAGTTTGATCACCTCAAACCAAGAACCACACCACACACCACCATACGGAAGGGGACTCAAAACAGACGTGCGTTTCTGTTTGCTTTTGATGTCCGCGCTAATTTGAAATTGCTGTCAAACAATGGCGCTCAAAACCGCTACCGGTACTATAGAAGATGACTAATGGTATTCTATCAAGAAGCAACTCATCTGGACCTAAAATACTACATTGTATTTAGTACCTCTATCAGCAAGTATCCTCGTCCCCTCCTGCGAGCATGCATTTGATTTCGGTTCATGTCCTTGTATAGATTATTGCTTTTTTTAAAAAGTATTGCACTTTATTAGATTCTATGTTTATTTGTGTACCGTATGTATTCATTGTACTGATTGTTTCCTCCTTTCTTGTATTTGCTTTCTGCTGGGTTGCCTCATGCCTCTAAAATCTAGACAATCTTCTTTCGTATCTGCCGCAACAACTCCGATGCCACCATCCACCATATCAAATCGATTTCCAACAACATAGCCAAACCTTCATCGATAGCCAAGAAAACTTTCCAAACCGTCCCGCTTGATGTCACTGACAAAAGCCTCCAATGATTCTGGCTGGATGCCAGTTCGCATGTCATGGGCGATTCGATAATGTCGGGCAGGGTTGGGTATAATGTGTCCAGCTTCAAAAACATGATGCCGAACACAATTGGCCCACAATGCCTACTGCATAGCACCAATGTTCTTTAGAAGGTTTTCACCACTGTTGCCATTCACACCATCATTGTCGTTATTGATCCAGACATTGCCTTCGTCATCAACAGCGAGACCTTCGATCTTTTCCATTACAAGTCCATTGCTGGATAGCAAATCAGGAAGCAAATCACGAACCAGCGTTTTATTGACTACGTTGAGATCTGCAAGGGAATAATCTCCAAGGTCAATCTCGTAAATCCTCTTGATGGATGCATCTAGTCCGGATTGGTTGTCTCTTTCGAGAACATAAAAGCGGCCGTTTCCAAGTGCTTCCATATCAGCCAGACCTACCCATCCTGCATTCTGACTTGATGGTGCTTCGCACGCATAGTAGACAAACTTCCAAGTAGAAGTAACAACATTGTAAATGCCTAAACGATTGCCAATGGTCTCTTCGCCAGTCCACGGTCGTTGAAAGGCTACAACGATATTGTCTCCATCCACAGCTATACCCTCCAAGCCCTGAATACCATTCAGAGCTTGTGGAAGGGTCGCCACTTCTTGGATCTCGCCGTCAAAATTGACTTTCAGAAGCAAGCTTGGTGTCTCGAAAGGTCTAGCTACTCCATCGCTTACCACCCAGAAACCGTCATTGACAGCATCGATTCCTTCAAGATCAAGATTGACTGTCATGTCATTATTCAAGAGTTGAGAACCTGCTAAATCAGAAATAGCCGCTCCAAGCTTGCCAGCTGTATCCTTGATACGAATCCCCTTCGTAATCTTGTATGGATAAGACGAAAGATCAATCTCAAAGATTCGACTCTTCTTGTAATTATCATCTTCCACCGAGTACATGAAGCCATCTTTGAACGAAAGGCCACTCAAAGCCGAGAACGGGATGGGCTTGCCTGTGGCATCATTTCCAGCAATTATGGAAGGGTAAACTGGACCTGCCTCTTGTAGCTCATAGATGGTCACCGAACTGCGAATTTTGTCGTCTCGGTTATCTTCGGGGGAGGCAACAACCAACAAGTTTCGAGAAGGAATAGCGTATATTCCCTCAGGCTCAACTCCGGTGGGAAGCACCTGGCGGAGCCTTGGACGAGTAACATCGGCAACATTGTATACATAGATCAATCCAGAGCGTTCGGAGGAAACAAATAGAAACTTCCATTCATCGAACTCGGCATAGTGAACAGTTTCGGGTTCATTACCCTTGTTCTCCGAGCGGTGATCAGCGTAGTGGCCAACTCGAATGGCCCATTCTTCCATCCCATTTCCATTCTCGTAGACAATATTGCCCTCTTGATCGAAAATGGAAAAACCGCGGCTCCCACCATTGAGATCACCTGTAAAAATGAAAAAGATTGTTGGAAACCAATGAACAAAATTGACAAAAGCAAGAGTGAAAATATCGCCTACCTTCATCTGCAGTTGCAAAATACTCGGTTCCAATCCATGTGACTCCATCAGGCTCACGAGGAACAGTCACACTGCCGTCTTGCGTAATGATGTCTTCCTCATCAACATCTACGCCACTGACTGAAGCAATTCCAGCCGAGAAGGACTTGACAACTTTTGCCTCGACAAGGTCTACAATGACAAGTGCATTATTTTCTTGAAGCGAAATAACTGCAATATTGTCAGCATTGATATCCACAAATTCGGGTTCAGGATCAGAAGGATACGCGACGTCACGAAGCCCTGTTAGTTCCACCTTTGCCATGGTCCACTGCGTCGGATCGTCAGGAGCGCAATTGATGATTTGCAGGAACCCGGCAGGAAGCTGAGGAATCAATCCATCGCTCAAGTCTTCGTTACGTTCATTTTCAATGGCAACCGCAATATTGTTCTTGTCGGGTGAAATCGAGAGAGAATCTGGTTGGCCACCAAGATCCATAGTGTGAATGATAGTTTTGCTGTCAATGTCAACAACAGCAATGTTCCCCGAAGGATAGGTAAAGTTGCCGTTCGTGGTACTGACGCCAACCACAACGTACTTGTCCTTGATGGCGACCGAGGTTGCCGCTCCTCCAACCGCAACAAGTCCGCCCATTATGGGAGTCGACGGGTTTGTGATGTCCATGAAGCCAATCGATTCTTGCGGGACGTCCGTGTAGACAATTGTGTTTCCATCTTGCGTGGCAGTTACAATTTCAGCCGAAGTCTCGATATCAGTGTTGCACGTCGCATCGAACTGAAGGCAGACCGAGGCTGTCGACAGGCGGTTGAAGTACTGAAACGGCATTGGAATCGTTGGTGCGGAAGTTGGTACAGTCGATGGTGTGGATGTAGGACTGATGGGCTCGGTCGATCCCGTTGGTGTAGTCGGCATGTCGGAAGCACCAGCAATGAGTGCAGATGATTCGTCATTCGACTTGGAAGCCAAAACAACGCCTGCAGCCGTCCCTGCTCCAACCACAAGAAGGATTGCAAGGCAAATCACGTATCGATTATACAAACATGTAGCCCATCCGGAATCTTCTTCGTCGTCACCGTATTCCGTGCCAACAACAACAGCAACTTGCTGTTTTTCGACCTGTCGCTGCAGCGTTTCGACTTGCAGTTGAAGATCAGTCACCATTTCTTCCGCCTCGTCAGGCTCAACAATTTGAGCTTCGAGCTCGAGAATCGACTTTTCCTTGCTGGGTGGGGATTTGCCGAAACGATGGGCACCGATGACTCCCTTTCCTGCATCTCCGCTTGTCTTCATTCCACCAACAGCGATTTTCCCTTCGGGGCCGTGATCCGTAGGATCTTCAAAGGCAGGAGCCAATCTCAGTTTCTTTTCCCGTTCTTTGGCCGTTTCCATTGGGTCACTACTCGCTGATGCGCTTGCAGTTTCCTGCGTTTCACTCGGAGCTTCTTGGCTCGGTGCTCTATCAACCGCGAGAGCCATTCTCAATTTCTTTTCTCGTTCTTTCACATTATCTTCCATCGAGTCTGATGCAGGAGGATGAGGTTTGCTGCTGTCATTTCCATCAGTAGAAGTAGGTGGATTCTCCTCGTCGTCGTGCTTCGTTATGTCACCTTTCATTTGGAAGATTACTACTATTAGTAAATACTGCAAGGCAAAGCACTACAGTTAGCAACAGTATAGAGAGTATACACTAAATGTCGTGTCTGAGAATAATATAAAAGAAGGAGACATCACCTATTTTTGCAAGATCTCATCTTCTCTTGAAGCAACTGTTTTTCGCGCAGGCCTGCATATTTGGTCACTTTCTTCATGTAACGAATGTACCTATTCTGCTACAGTAAGTGGCCCGTCTTTGGTGTGGGTGTCAGATTTTTTAAGCTATTTGTTTAGCGAATAAGTGTTTTACCCCTTCGGCTGGCTGACGACTGACTGAATGACTCTCCTGCTGATATCGCTCGACTTCTAGCCGACGACTATATCCTGAAGCTTACCACAATTGCTTCTGCTATATTGTAGTAGCTTTTACAGCACGTTATGTCTGCTTTTCCCACCATTTCCAGACTCTACCTATTGCTATTGACCTATTTTAATACGTACATCTATCGTCTGTGACTATTTTAGTTTCCTGACATAATTATTTTCTCAGATGTTGCCACCTCTAGTCGAAACTCGATCGAGTATTGGCCCCCGTACCATGGTACTCATCGATGATTCCAGATAGCAATAAATGATGGAGCAATAATGCATAACGCCACGGTAAAGCCCTACAGCACTTTCATAAATTCCTTCATTCCTTCATCGTGGCATTTGATAATCTTGTGGAAAGGTCCATGAGCTCACGGGAGTTTGGTCCGAGGCTGCCACCATCCTCTCGGCCATTTTGGCATTGCGAATCATGGAAGCCCATAAGGCTTGATTGGTCTTGGCCTTTTTCCATTCGTCTTGCTCTGTCAGGAGACTCGCAAAAATTTCAAGTTGATGGGCAAAGGTCGACTTGCCCACAGCATTCTCGCTAGTGTCATTTGCAGCAGCAGTATAGCGTTGCTCGACGGTTCCATCTGGTTTGGTGATTTTATGGTAAATAAAGGGGAACAAGGCATTGTCATACCGTAGACTTCCATTGGATCCTTGAAAGGATACATACCAAGAGGGAATCTCAAGCTTGTCCTTGTAGGCATCCATTGTAATCTGAACCGGTTTGACTGCACTAGCACCTCCGCCTTCACCTTTTTCCAAATCGGGACTCTCCACAGGGGTGGCCGTCAATTTGGCATGCATTTTGGTGGGCATCATTTCGACAGATTCAATTTCAATGTCCCACTGGTCTTTGGGCAAGTAATAATGCATTTCATCGACCAAGTAGCACCATCGGTCAAACAATTTGACAGATTGTTTGGCGGCTCCTTCCGCCTTCGAAGCCATTGGATCGTACAAGGATGCCTTGAGTTCCATACTTTCTAGAGAGCCAACTACCTTTTGTTCCACTACCAGTTCTTGGACTCGAATGGCGGCAGGATGGTACCGCCAATGAAAGGCTTCCAACAAGATCTTATTTTGTTCTCGAGCCAACGCCACCAACTTTTTGGCTTCGTGCTCCAAAAAGACGGCTGGTTTTTCCAAAAGGACATGCTTGCCATGTTGCAAGGCATATTGAGTAATGGCGTAGTGCAATTCTGTAATTACGCCAATGTAAACAACATCAATGTCGGGATCCATAATCAGTTCTTGATAATTCGAGTGGACCTTGGGGATTCCGTGTTTGGCCGCATAGGCTTTGGCCTTGTCCACACTGCGGGCTGCCACTGCAGTGACCACCACAGAAGATTCCCGAGAGGCTGGCCACAAGACTGCAAACTTGGCAATGTCCGCAGCACCCACCAATCCCACCTTGATGGCAGACGGATCCTTGGATACTGCCGTAGATGCTGGCATCAGAAACAGCAACCGCTGCGCCATAGGAGCAAAGGCATAGGCCAGAACGGCGGTAGTCACTGAAAAGAGTGCAAACCTGGGAAACATGATTGATTGATCGATTGATTGATTGATTGATTGATTAGTATTGAGTTGTATTGTATATATGGTGTTGTTGTCAGTGACAATCAATGAATGAGTACCGCATCGCTCCGCTGCGAATATTTTTATTTGAGAAAAGTATCTGATTGACGATCGACGATCGACTGACTGACGCTTGACTATACTACCAGTAATACTCCAATCAATACACGCACAGATTGATTCCAATCGCATACAAGCACATCATATTTTACTCAACATTAACATATTTATGTGAGCACATTTCTTTTTTAAACTTGATATCTCTATGATTTTTATATATTATGATTCGTAACTTTGAAACTGTCTATTATCAAGTTCCACCGTTTTTAACTTGGCGGTTGGAAGAAATTTGGTGATTCCACAATCACTGGAGGTTGGGGAGCATTGGGTGCTTCGCGGGGCCCATCAAATCCCACTCCATTGGAAGGAGTAATGAAATTAAAGACGGGTGGGTTCGTGGGAGGACCAATTACCAGTCGCTCTGTGGGGCTTGACGAAGGTCTAAGTGTAGTAGGTATGGGGGTAGGCCCAGATGTCGGATCTGATGTGGGACCCGATGTTGTGGGACCCGCTGTAGGCAAAGGGGTTGGTCCAGATGTTGGGTTGGAGGAAGTCACAGGTGTAGGTTTGCTAGTTGGTCCAGATGTGGGAATGGGAGTCGGACCCGATGTAGGAAGGTCTGAGGGTCCCGAGCTAGGCGTCGAGGATGGGTTCTTTGAAGGGTAGAACGATGGAATCGTGCTTGGTTTGTCCGACGCCTTCGCCGATGGAGTAGCTGAAGGCATAATGGAGGGAGTTTGCGAGGGCTGACTGGATGGGGAAACACTTGGCTGGATAGAGGGCTGTAGCGAAGGAGTCGCAGACGGCTTGTCCGACGCCTTTACGGACGGAGTGTTTGACGGCATAATGGACGGGCTTGTGGACGGCATAATGGACGGCTTGTGTGAGGGTCCATTCGACAGCGTTGGCTCGAAGGACTGTAACTGCGACGGACCCTGAGAAGGCTTCAAAGAAGGCAGAGTACTAGGACCTTGTGATGGATGCATTGTGGACGGCATAATGGACGGCTCGTGTGAGGGTCCATTCGACAGTGTTGGCTCGGAGGACTGTAACTGGGACGGACCCTCAGATGGCTTCAAAGAAGGCAGAGTACTAGAATCAGTACTAGGACTTTGTGATGGATGCAAGGAAGGAAATGTGGATGACAACTTGGATGGTCCCACCGAAGGAGCTGTAGATGGCAGTGCGGAAGGCACCTTTGACGGCAGGAACGAAGGGGTTGTTGATGGGAAACTTGAAGGTGTGTTTGACGGCATCAGAGAATTAGACTGGAAATTTGATGGCGCAGCCGATTTTGACGGCGCAGCCGATGGTCGTTCCGATGGAGAATTGGAGCCAAAGGTGACGGATGCGGTAGATCCGAAGTCTCCTCCAGTGCCAACAACTTCACCTTCGAAAACCACATTGAAGCCACCAGTATTATGCTGACAACACATTCCATCATCACTGGAATCATCAATCGTCAAAGTGTGAGTACCTGCCTCCAAGCAGTACTTGAGCGAATAAGATTCGTTGGATCGCAAGTATGCATCCTTCCCTCCTTCAGCAATCAGACCCCCACTACTGTCACGCAACTCCCAGGTTGTTTCATACCCAAAGAGATCCGTTTCCAACTCCAATATCATTTCATATTGGCTGGCCTGACATTGTTCTGTGGGCTGAGTGGGTGGAAGAGAGCCATCAAGGCCGATTTCCGCATTGTTCGCAAACCGGTTGTGAAGAAAAGTCATTGGAACTCCCTCGTTCCCACTACATAAGTTAGCTTCGCCACAATGGTGAAGGGCAATGACCTTGTTCGTTTCAACCGAAAGAACTGGCGAGCCAGAGGATCCTGGCTCTGTGTCGCATGTGTATCGAACGTCGAGATACCCACTGGCGCCATAGCACGACACCACCGGTTGAAGAGTCCGACATCGTTGTTCCTGACCATACTGGCTATCCATAATAGCCATTGCCTTGTCATGGCCTCTGGGGTGCTGTGGAATGTAAATTGCTTCACCAATGGTAGGATCTCTTGGTTCTGTTTCCAGGAAACTAGAAAAATGAAATGCAGGAAGCGCGACGTGTTATTCGACGATCAGCAATTCCTGGTCGTGCATTTGAAAGGCAGTCACACTTACCCGTATCTTTTCAATGGTGCAGTGGGTCGATCTTTCAACTTCACTAAAGTATAGTCATGGAGCCTGATAGCTTCGATCAAAAAGTCCACTTCATAGACATCTTGAATATCGCTCGGAACTGAGTCTTTTCCGCTCCCAGAGCAATCTCCTCCACCATTTTGCACTTCCAAGTTGAATACAGCGTACGAATTGAGGGCATCTTCACTATTCCGAATGCAATGTTGGTTGGTAACTAGTATATTCTGGTTTCCGATTAGCCATCCAGTGCAAGTACCTCTGCCGTTGATGATAATCTTTGCGACCGATCTTGCCATTTTGTATTCGGTAGCATGACTATCCCTGTAGCATTGCGAATTTCGGAGATCATCTGCTCCACAGATGGTCAGATCCCTTCTTTGCTCCCACGGAAGCAACTCAACTCCGCGAAGGCTTGGTCTATCAATCTCTTTTCTGGGGGAAGAAACATCTCGGAAACCAGCAGCATACTTGTCAATGAGAAAGTTCCCTACACCATTGTCGCCAGCGCAAGTCACCGACAAGACGACTGTGTCACCATTGATGAAGCGTGCCCAAAAGGAAGTTAGTCCACTCTTGCCTTTTCCCCTCAGGGCAAACGCTTCTTTTCCGACCAGGTCGGTTAATAGCAATCGGCACTGGCCTTGAATATCCAATGATGCAAAATGAAGCGAAATATAGGTGGCCCCTTCGTGATACACAGTGTAGGTATGACTGACTCTCTTTTCTTTTATGATTGTCATTGGCTGAATTTCACTTATTTCATGATCCGTCGATACTGTTAGCAGTGCTTCCTCGCCAATTTGAAACGGACCTGGAGCTCGAGCGGTATGATTGAATATGTTGCCATCTTCAGCAGCCAAGGCTACCCAAAGAACACTTTGCCATATTCCAAACAAGAAGCTGTAGTGTAAGGCTTTCATATTCTTTCGTAAGAAGCGATGGAGGTTTGAGGTATGGATTTCGCTCTTCAGAATTCATGTACCTACAGTATATCATCGTCCATTCATTTCTCATCGGCTTTGGCACATGTTTCCAAATTTCGAAACAAGGAATAGTCGATCTTTGGGAGCATAATGTTTGGAATTAGCGAAGGCTCGTCTTGCGATTACGCGACCTACATTTATTATATTTTATCTTGCATAGAAACTGCTTTGATTTTGTTTGGGCTGTAAATGTTCGACATACGTGAAAGAATTTGAAATTTCCTCATAAATAGAAATGGGTCGGCACGCGCCTTCGCCATCAACATTTAAAGTACCGGATAGCAAGACACATGTATTTCACCACGTGTTCCGAATTATCTCTAATGTATTGAATATGCAGGATTTGCAGTACAGTACGGTATCATGTACCTATATCAGGGAGTATGAGCTGAGCAATGTACCTGTCTTTGAAAACCATCGAAACAATCTCAAATCGAATCAAGATGAAAAAGCTGTAGGAGTGTTATTGCTGGATATAAATTCCTAATATCAGCAATATCCTCCAAGGACTAGGACTACCATGCAACAAAGCTTTATTTTTTTTATGTTTTGAAAGAATAGATGTTGTTTCTTTTTTAAAAAAAATGCTTGAATTGCATTGAATGCAGAAGACCGATTGCATCGCGCAGCATGAACTGTTTTGCTGTGATGCGAAGTTTGCTTCGGGGCGACTTTTGGCCCAGCCCAACAACAAGAGTTGTTTCAAGATAGCTCCTGGCTGACTGCCTGTTGCTTCAACAATACACCAATACTTTAAGTATCATGACGGCCATTGTTGGTGTACTCAGGACTTTGGTAGAATTCGCTTCAGGGTGGGAGGTACCATGTACTCTTTCCATAACTACAGTACCCTCCCTCGGTGGTAAAATTAGGTACGATTGAGATGAATTTGATGAAGCGTGTGTGTATCTTGTTGGTAAAATTCGATCCGTTGAGTATTCCCTTTCTCTATGTTTTGTAACGTGAGAAGTTTCGTAAACAATTATGAATAGGTCGTTTTTCGAGCAATTTTGTGTCGCACTACACGGCTAACATGAAACAATCGACGAAAACACGTGTCTTTTTGTCTACCGGATAGGAGTTCCTCGTGATGTTTTTGGCTGCATACATTCTGCAAGTTCCCACTCGATCTTTGAATTGAAAGCAGGCTTTGATCACACATGAGTCACAAAACAATATGAGTACCTGTATTCGAACTTTACAACTATTTCTGTTAGCCACGACACTGGCGTCCAGTGTGTGCGAAGAAATCAATAAGGCCACACGTGCAATCGAACTTTCCAAATGGCTGAACGAACAAGAGGGCTACGAATTCAATTCCAAGCAAGAGATCCGACCGATTGAATCTACAATCCCTTCACCGAACGCTGGTATTTTTGCCACACACGACATCCAAGAGGGAGAAATCCTCGCCCGCATTCCATGGAACCTCATCGTAGGACCAGTCGACGGTGATCGACTCAGAGATGCAGAGAACGAAGAGTTTGAAGAAGAGGGGCCATCCGAGGCCTCCTGCAGTGCTTTCCGCAATTTGTATGGCGAGATGCAAAAAGGGTCTTCCTCCATGGTCTCTCCATACATTGATTACCTCTTTGCTACCAAAGCTACCTTGCCGTATTCCTTTTCCGAAAATGGAAAGCATCTTCTTTTAGATATTTTGACGAACTCTCACGATGAAGACGATGTTCCGCTTCTGGAGAAATTAGACCCTCCGTTCCTATTGGAGGCAACCGCATGTGATGAAGAAGCCATTACTACGGAGGGTCACCTGGCAGCTGAGTTGATAGTTCAATTTGCGTTTCAGTCCAAAATGATTCCTATCTATGACCTATACACACATCGAAATGGCAAATGGCTGAACACAGAGACCGAGACTGTCCCAGGAGAATACTTCAAGGTCAAGGCACTTCGTGATATTAGTGCTGGCGAACAAATTCACAGCAGCTACAACGATTGTAAGGAGTGCCCAAACAACCTCGGTCATTATAGTGTTCCAGGTACGATTTGAAAATCGATACGCTTGCAGGAATCAAATCTACATCTTGTCCAGTCTCACCATGCGCTTGACTCCACAGATATCTTTCGTGACCATGGCTTCCTTGAACCCTACCCGCAGCGCTGGAGTATCCCTGGTGAAAGTGCCCACATTGAATACACACGTGATGACACTGGTGTCATTGATGAGCCTAATTTCGTTTACGACTTTGAAACCGACCTTGTTGTTCACGACGATGGCAAATGGTACTGGCGCTTCTCCGAAAAGAACCAGCTTGTCTTTTTGGACCACGACGAGGAGGGAGAAGCGATTGTCATGTGGGACATGTCGAATGATTTGGTCTTAGACGAACTGAAGGATTCTTGGCCAAGTTACCGAGAGGAACTGCGAAGAATATCGCGCATCCGCAACATTGAATGGGACAAAGCACCAGAGACCTACAATATCACACAAGAAGAATGGGAAACGATCTGGGCATTCCACGAAACCTACTCCAACATCCTTGAGTCAGCCTTGGATTTCATTGAAGACCACTCCGGGCTTTCGACTGACCATCATGGTCATTATGATGACTTGACTCACGAGGGCGATGGAATTACATACAACGAATTGGATTGCCCAAGCTCCGAGTTGATTGACTTCATGGACTATGACTTGTATGAAGAGAAGAGCTCCAACTACCAAGTCATGAAGTGGCAAACTCGTGAAGAGGACGACGACATGTGCTTGCACCTGGATGATATGCTGCAAATATGTACCAGCTACCGCCCACACTACCACGAATACTTTGTTCACTTTCCAGCCCAATACATTGAAAAGGTGGAGCGAGTCATGTTCCTAGGAAGTGGTGACGCTATGCTTTTGCACGAAATCTTGAAGTACCCAGACCTGAAGAAGGTCGTCGGCCTTGAGGTAAGAGAATGTTGTCATGCCTTCAGCATTCATGTATTTCGTTGACTAATCAATTGACTGTATTCGCAGCTTGACCAAGATATCACTCGAACCAGTTTTCAATACTTCCAGACTCAACCCCACTACGATGACCCACGCGTTGAATGGTGGTACGGTGATGCCACAAAGACGCTACCATTGCTTACCAAGGAATACTGGGGATCCTTCGATTTGGTTCTGGTCGATCTGTCCGAGACTGTCGTTTCATTGGATGTCACTGGAAAGCATGATATCTTGGATGTCTTGGAGAACCTTCTAAAGCCCGATGGTGTCCTTTTGGAGAACGAACTCTACATTGACCGATTCACTTCCCACTTTGACCACACAATTCATATCTTTTACGGATCACCCAAGGTGTGCACCCAAGTTCTGACATTAGCTAGTAACAATGTTGACTTCCTCCATCATCCAATCAAGGATCACGGAATCGACAGCTATTTGACCAAGACTCCAGAAGAGGACGACGAACGATTCATGTACATTCACGACTACCTCAAGTCCTATGCTCCTGATGACGTATGTTCCGCAACAGAGAATGAAGGTGTTGTTCAAGGTCGAACCGCTGGTGTCATGGAGATTGTCAACTTTGAGAATATCGAGTCGTTCCCTGGCGAAGATTTGGAACAGAGCCTTATCTCGATGATGGAATTGAATGGATTCAAGCCACTCTCCAAGCCAGCAGCATCCGTTCAAGGCCATGTTTTTGTTGTAATGGAGGAAGGCTACCTTTCTGTTAGATGCTGGGAAGACAAACTCTACTGTGCTGCCGACATCAACCTGTGGGGAGCCTTTTCCAAACGTGAAACCGTAAGAGAATTGCTTCGCAGCGCCTTGCAAAGTAAGACCGTCTCGGACTATCGAGTAGTAGTTGGTGGAATGTACGGATCCAAGACTTTGGAAATGGACCAGAAAGAAATTGGAGTCCGCTTCTCCCAAAACCAAAACTGCGATGCCAGACGTGGAAACATGGAAACCGAGATCGACTCGGAAACCATGAGAGTTCTAACACAAGAGACTGCCCGCATAATGGAAGGAAGAACCGACTTGACTGCCATTGTGGTATGTGGCTTTGAGGACGAGGAAGAGTGCGAAGCATCTAAGGTTCTACAATCGGATGATACTAATCATTTCAGCAAGGTTTGGACTATCTGGGCTTGTCCCGAACTAAAAACTGACGAAGATGAAGTGGAGGAAGAAGCCATGTTTGCCTGTGAAAAGAACATCATTGCCCAACATGACGAATCCAACTCTTCTGCGTTTGATATGCTGGTCTTTGACGAAACCGCAACCTACGAAATGATGCAAATCTTCAGCAGCATCTTTTCGGATTCTCATGAGCACGAGAACTTTTTGCACCCAAATCACATTCTGGCGTCATCCTTTGACAAGTCTTCTAAATTCAAGGGACGATTTGTGGCAGAACGTTACCGTTCCATTCCAGACACTATTGTTTCTGTTTCCACCATTATGATCCGAGGAAAGGGAGGCGACGAATTGGGATGGATGGTTGCCTATGCTGCCGAAGACTATTCCTTCTTGAAGCTTTCCAAGTTGGAAGAGCGATTGCAGGCGAGACTTCCTGGACTAGACTTGGAGATTCAAGGCATTGTCGGTGGAGAGCAACATGTTCAGAAAGATTTGGCTCCCCAAAACATGACCTTCACCAAGGCAGACTACCCCACCTTGCCCAACGAAATTCAAAATCAAGAACAGGAGCCTTTGGGACGCCAGAGTGTTGTCCAAATGCAATGGAGCGACAAGCAAGCTTCTACGGAGAAGGTCGTGGAATACTTGACAGCTACGTTGAAAGAAATGCATTACAAGCCAGTTCGATTTGAGACCTACGAAGATGTTGGTGAAGGCTGTGTCGTCGCTGCCTCGTATGCCAAAGGCAGTGCCATTATGGTGTTTGATGGCCGCCAACAATTGGTGCTCAATCTTTTCTCCTTTAGTCAAAGCAAGAAACGTGCCAACAAGTTTGTCAAGACTTTGGAGACTCTATCCGATGGCAAACTGAAGGTGGCCTTGCGAGACGAACAACCTCGGGGAGTTGGGCGTGTCGTCAACTTTGAGAAGGATATCTATTCTCAAGTTGCAGAGATGGAGTAAGATGAATAGAACATCAGACTCACACCGTGGGAATTTGTTTCAAAGGGTGATATATATGTGTACTCACGGTGAATGAATGATTTTAGCATCGAGCAACAAAATTGTTCGATTAGTAGATAAGAAGAAGATAGAGATACATCAATGTTACGATTTCTAACAATTAAAAACTAGATAGTTGACTTACCATTGAAATGTCAATCGTGTAAAGTTTGGCGAAGAAAACAGGAGAGTGAGTGATACATGCATCAGTGCAAACGAGCCAACAATCGTAACCAACAAGAACGAGCAGAGTACTGGAAGGCATGATGAGTAAATATACTGCGCTATAAAACATTATTCTTCTTTATGTACACACCGGCGCCGATGTTTCTTTCTATTATGAGTCTTTGATGGCTTTTGTTCGGTTGGTAAAGCGGTGCGTTGGAAAGTTGTCTGCATTCGTTTCGCATATGAAAATATTTACAATACAACTCTGGCAGCTTCCGTCATTTCGTACTCAAAGGGAGCGTTGAGGCCGTCGGTGATGCGTCTTCGCAGTGAGATCTTCACCTTTGGTGCGGCTTGTCGTCGTAGTGCCCTTGGATCGGTCACTCCAACAACCACTTCTTCCGTCTCACCAAAAATTTTGTTCATGAACGCTCGTTGTTTGGGATGGAGATCCTCATTCAAATTACGAGGCTTTGTCCCGTAGTTGTGTGCGTTGGCAGCAGTGATGACGGTGGGGGCAATGACAGTTGTGAAATCCATATTGATGAATAGGTTGTTGTAAAAGGACCTCTTGCTGGTGTGCTTGTATTCGTATTTTATGAGCTGCCGTTGGCCCAAAGTTCGTGTTTTGTCACTTTTGAGAGGTGAAGCAGTCGCAAAAACAGAATGAAAGTGCGTAGAACATTCGTAGAATGTACGTAGAACATCAACCAATAGGTAGAAGAAATATATTCTTCGCCGGAAGAGGCATTCGTGATCCAACGTTGATGTTTTCCTTGTCACTGTGACCTTACTACGACTTGTTAATCAATAAGGTACTGTTCACAGAACATCGTATCAACATTTAAAAGAGTCGGAGTGGTATTCGTGATGTTTTATTTGTCACTGCGACTTTACTGCGACTTTTACTAACAAATGAGGTAACGTTCCACTGACAGTTCGGATCGCCCACGTGACATCACAAAATACGTTTCACAGAACGATCAATCAACACAATTTGGGAATCGTCTTCAGCAGAAAGCATTCAGCATTTTCCACTCCTATGCTGTTGCGTCCTTCAATCCCTTCTCTCTAAGTCCAATTGCACAAATACACGGGATGTAAGTTTGAAGAATGCAATCTGCCTGCGATTGATTCATTCGTTCGTTCCCAAACCAACCACCATAATGACAAACAACCAAATCAGCAGATTTCATTGATTGATTTTCCATCAATACGCACGTGAATACACACACACACACACAAACACGCACAAACGATATAGAATAGATTTATAGTATACAATGTCCGTCTCTGCCGCTCGAAATCTGGTCCGCATGATCACACCTCCTTCCCAGGTTGCCAGCGCTTTGGATTGGAGGAAACATACTGGCGGCGCCATCCTTTCCTTGGACATTCACAAAAACAGCATCGGCCTGGCCATTGCCGCCCACCCTTCACTTCAAGAGCACGCTACTCTGTTGAGCTCAATACCTTTGCAAAACCGAGGCAAAGTATCGGAGCAGGACAAAGATTATCTGGCCGATGTCATCAAGACCAACAAGGTTTGCGGTGTCGTGGTATCTTGGCCGTTACAAGAAGGGACGGCCAAGATGGGCCATGCGGCAGGTCGCGTCTTTCACACATTGGAAGGCTTGGTCAATGAAGAAGACAGCGAATCTTCGGCAAGAATTGTCTCTCTTTTGCACCTCAAACCTCTTTGTTTGTGGGACAGCGAACATGCGGAAAACAGCGAGCCAGAAGACATTTTTGGCCGGAGTCCAGCCTATTGTCGGACTTCTAGTAAACAAGAACACCGGGCTTCGGAGGAACAATACAACCAAGACGAGAAAATTGTCGCGACTGGTGTTTTGGAGGACTTCTTGCATGCATTCTGGCCTGACGTTGTCAGCAAGCAGCCGACTATGATGGCAGTCTCGTCTGATGATGAGCAAGAAGACGAAGGACCAAAGATCGCAATGGCATAACAGGATGGGCTATTGATTACATAATGGCTCTCCTATATTGCTTTTATCCGTCATAACAAGCCTCCAAGAGACTTATTCTTTGCTATTGTATTAAAAGGACGAATAGATCAACCAATCATTATCTTTAGCTACCTGTACTGTTGTAGCGGCTCAAACTACTTTTGGCTCGACACACTACTTATTCCATAGAGCCTTTCAATGCACATTTGTGGTGCTGGATGAAAAGGTATCATCAATCATCAAGGATCCCGATAACTCGAATCGTAATCACTACTCGAAGGATACTACACCAGCACTGGACGAGAAACGAAGACTTCTTGACCCACACACCACTACTTTTCTCTAACCTAGATACACTTGTTAGATCTCATGATGCGATGTGCGTACTCGTATAACGGACTTCGAATGCAATATCCAGGTCCCCTGTCTACGGTAACATCAGTGACTTGACTTCTGTTTACACTGCCTATGTACCACCGGTAGGCGATTAGATTAGATTAGATTAGATCAGATCACAAGTAGATTATGCGATTGATTGCACTCCTTAGCGACGATTCATCAGACCCATTTTGAATCGAACCATTCAAAGAGAGAACCATTGGATCTTCATCGATCATTTTATTCGATCCTCTTCCGTGTTTGCACGTACGCACACATCAGCATTTTGCGACGACGACATAGATATCCATATCTTTCACGCTGAATCATCCTAAAAGGAAAGATATCTTATCGTCGTCATTATCATCATCGTCTACAATGCCACCTACTGCCAAAGCACCCAAAGATGGAATTGAATTTGATTCTCTTCCTTGGAATCTAAATCTTCCTGAGGAACACTCCTACATTCATTTGACCACCGAGAGCGGCGAATGGACTACCGAGCACTACGATCCTTCCACCGACAAGGGATTGCTCTTTGATGCAGTGAAGAAGTACTCCGAGACGACACTTCCGCTGACACCTTCTACAACTTCCTTGAATTATGGAACCACCATCTGGGAGGGACTCAAGTGCTACCGGACCAAGGAAGGCAAATGCATTGTGTTTCGACCTGACAAAAACTTTGTTCGCTTTACCAATGGAGCCGATCAAATGTGTCTGCCAAAGCCTTCCAAAGAACTTTTTTTGAGAGGTGTCCAACATGTCGTACAAGAGAATTCCCATCTCATTCCACCCTGCGGTGAAGGTATGAAATTGTACATTCGTCCCATGATGTTGGGCAGTGGACAACAACTTGGTTTGTACCCAAGCCCACAGTTCAGTTTGTTGTTCTATGTTTCTCCTACCGTAAGTTTGGTCATTTCGCTACGTATGGGGTTGTTGCTTTATGCTTTTTTCGTGTGATCTATTGGATTGCTGACACTGTCTCTTTTGCTCTTTTCAATTTCTATATAAAATGACACGACAACAATTCATTATTCATGTTAAAAACTCTCCATTGGAAATTTTCCGATTATTCATCACGATAGGGAAACTACTTCAAGAATGCAACAGGTGGACTGAATATTCATTTGGAAACCCGTCGTTCCCGGGCATCCCGTGGTGGTCTGGGTTCCACCAAGTGTGCCGGAAACTATGCCATTGCACTGAAGCCTCTGTTGGATGCCAAGAAGGAGGGATTTCTCGATAACTTGTTTTTGGAGTTGGAAACATACAACAAGGGTGCCTTGGAAGATGCAGTCTTGCAAGAAATGAGTGCCGCCAATGTCTTTTTCGTCCTCAAAACTGGAGAAATCGTGACTCCTTCGTTGGACCGCGGCACCATTTTGCCTGGGGTCACTCGGGACTCGGTCATTACCCTTGTACAAGATTTTGCAGATGAATTGAAAGAAGCTATGAAAGCTTCTACTGGACAAGAATCAGTTACAGTGTCCTCGAGAGATGTGACGGTTGGAGAATTGCGCAATGCAACAGAAGGTACGTGACCGGTTGATACATATTGTCAGAATCCACCATGAAAAGACTCACAAACCTTGATTGATACTTCCTAATGGCCATCCTACTCTTTCGTTGTCCATCCGTCTAATCTTGAACTTGACAGCCTTTGCAACTGGAACCGCTGCAGAATTGGTACCCATTGCTCGTCTGGCGACTGGATCCGAGGAAGAATCCTTTGACGTGACCTTCCCACATGGAACGGAGCTTCCAGGCGGTCCGGTCACCTCTGCTCTCTTGGCTCTGCTGAGAAAAGTCATGGTGGGAGAAAAGAGCAGCGAAGGAACAAAGGGATGGCTCCGAGATCCTTTTGCATCTCCTGAAGAATTCTGCAAGTAGTAATCAGCATCAAAATGAGATCCAAGTACTCAATCTAGCTCTATTACAAATACCGAATGGTGTGTGCAGAAGCCTTAATTGAAAATAGTTTGTTGAAGATACAATATTGCCTACATCTTGACCACAAATTGCCTCATGTGTAGAGCCAGTACAAAATCTACGCATATTTGACTACTCCGACCGGAATTTCAGCCACTAAGTCCTCTTCGCCAAATTTGGCCACTGAAGATCCAAATACACCATGTAACTCATCTAAAAATAGTGAAGGTTGTGTGTGGAAGTTAAATTGGACAACTGTTCGAAAAGGTGTAATAATGTCGAAAAAGGGGGAAATTACTAGTAAATTTTGATTTGGGGTGTACCCGTTCGCGCAGGGAACACGGCTTATACTGTAGGACGCGTTCCAGCCCAGCTCCATGATGGACTCTTCATAGAGCCCCTAACTCGGTTAATATTAAAAACAGAAACTTTACGGAAAAAACAGGTTGTCATATGTCTTTTCGTGGAGGCGGTCGCGGTTTTTAAGTATTTTTAAATACTATCTGTCATATATATATCATAGAAAAACCTATCTTCACTATTTGAAGCGAAGGAACAGAATTCATATGGCCGATCATCTGTCTCAAAAACGAGTGTTTGTCTTTGCTTGTGCGGATCTGTCTGAAAAGGGAGAATCATTTTCATGCTCAAAACTCTCAAAAGGTCCTCAAGTGAGCACAATGGCCTTCCCCATGGACGACATCATCGAAGCTATTGCCACGAACAACTCTGGCATTTTGTATCTTATGAGTAAGAACTATAAAGAAGCCATGATGTCGTTTCTTTATTCAGCGAGGAAAACGAAAGAACTTCTTCTGACTAGACTGAGAAAAAATGGAGGCCGAGGAGGCTTATTGCACAGTCAAGTGCCGTTTCCACCTGACCAAAGACGGCACTCCTCCCAGTTCACCATGGAGCTTGTCGATTTTGGTACCACCGAGTTGGGAGCTGCTGAGCTATCCGATGAAGAGGATCATATTTCGTCGCTTGTCTGCAGGAATGCTATCTTCGTACGTCAAATCGCACCCCAGACCCCAATCGTGGATGATCTTACATCTATCACAGTTAGTGCTCTCTACAATCTCGCAATTACCAATCACCTTGCGGGAATCGATCACCGATGTACATCCAAGCTCGAAATGGCAGTCCAGTGTTATGAACTTGTGCTCAGCATGCAAAAGGTAGGTACTACTGCTGGGCTATCCACGCCGCACGTGATGTCTGCCTTGAACAATGTGGCTATGATACATCGGGTTTTGAACAATGAAAATAAGCTGCGACGTAACCTTCAGCAGCTCTTTGTGATAATGGCACATATTGACACAAGGGATGGGGAACGGAACGAACGCTACTGGATGCAATATTTGAGGAACATAACAAGCCTATTTTTGCACCCTTCAATCACCGCAAAAGCAGCATAAAGACAATTTGTTCATTTGGCCGAGCAACCTATTGCCTGGTACTGGAATGGTAACGACTCGGCCAGTTTTCTTGAGCGAAGAAACATTTTCGCAAACCGAAAACCTCTGCTACAGCTACAACTTGAGATAATGATTCAAAACAGTAACAGTAATAGCTATCAATGTTTACACTTCTAATAGAAGCACCTCGTAGCTGAGACCAAGACAAGACCTCGGTCCTGCGTTTCTGGAGGGGGATGACGGGGATATGACATTGCGTCTGGAAATTTGGCATCAAAAGGCCCGTGTACTTGATAGTGTGCTTGATACCGTGTAATACCGAACACAAAGTGGAGTGGCGCTGTGTCCTTGAAATCGCGCGGTTCTTGATTGGAATTAGAGGAAGGATCAAAGTTCGCACCTTTGTTCGGAACATCTGAAATTATTTTGCCACATAATTAACCTTCGCACTTCTCCTCTGCAAACTGTTGGCGTGAAAGATTTATGGGCGTTTGAAGTTGCTGTTAGTAGCGGCTTGTACCAGGTACTCGACACTTGTGGACGCACCCGTACAGTTCTTGCGTCCTTTAGATTCGTACCACGTACTTGGCGAAGGTATTGTGCATGTCGAAGGGAGGTTTTTCTATCTTTGCAACTTCCTCTTCACTATGCTCACATTCGGAAACAGCCTCATGTACGGAATACAAAACGAAGAAATTTTCTGCTAAGCCATAATGAATGAAGAATGGAAACAAGTGGTTGCATTGAACAATGCAGGCACTCACCACTTTTTTGCTGAGAATTTTCCTGAAGCAATCTCGTTCTTCGAAAAGGCTGTCATCGAAGCCAAGGCTACCCTCTTGAAATACCAGTCAAATACATCACCAAAGGCTTTCAATCGAACGGACCCACACGCTCAAGGTGAAGATTGCGAAGAATCAAAGATACAATTAGAGCTGCGAGATAGAGACGACTGCTCTAGCCTTGACAACGATGAAAATCTTGTATCTCGATGCTGCATTTGGATATCCGAATCCACCGAAGGGCCCTTCTCGATGCAGGATTGCACAACCTTTGCAATGAGCTCAGTTTACAATCTTGGCGTAACATACCACTTGGTTGGACTACACCAGGGTTCTCGTCCATTTCTAGAAAAAGCCAACCGGTACTACGGTTTGGCATCGCAGCTGTTTTCACAGGTTCAATTGAGGTGCGATGGTAGCCGCCTTTCAATGCATCTACTGAACAACTGGGCTACACTGCATCGTTCATTGGGAGACCAATTCATGTCAAGACAGCTCCTGCGACAGCTCTTTTGTCTGGTATCTCACCATGTAGATCTTGGGTGGGTTTCGGCAGAAGGGCATCATCAGTCCAATCTCTTCTTGAGAAATCTTCTGGTTTTGCTTTATCCCCCGCATACCGCCGGTGCTGCTTAGTTTCGAAGCGTTTACAGCACTAGCGACTATCATGAAACTTTCTTCATTTGCTGAAGATCATTGCTTGGTGCAGTACGCCGTCACCAGCCACCACCAGCTCCAGCCAAAACATACTACTAGTATACATTCATTTGAATTCTTTATCATCTCGGCCACTCGAATGGCGCAATCGTCGTGAAAAGATAGATTTTAATTCGTTATATATTTACACCATTTTCATACCGTAAGTATTGTCTACCAGGTACCGGGTACGAGTACTTTGTCATGCCATATCATCATATTACCTGGTACCAGGTATTAATACCAGGTACGGTATTGTCTTATCTCGAATTGGCTTCACATGACTCGTCCAACTTTCAGTTTCCGCGCCCAAATTTTTACTCCGGGTTATGAATTTGGCACACCCGGCGCTACTACGTGCGGTTTGACGGACAAAAGACAGGTAGAATGCTTCACTCTTCCTACGAAAATGCCGCGCCAACCACTTTCTTCACAGTCGACAAAACTGTACATCCATTTTTGTGCACATATCCATCTCATCAAACCCAGTAACGACGAGCTCCTTGTTGAGAGAATCGACCACCACGATGAATAAGGCTGTCACCGCACCCAAGCCCATGATCGACCTTAAAGAACGGTTGTGCTTCTATTGTCGACGAGACAATGAAAACGACGAAGCAAATAACATACTTTGGCCAGCAGTCGTTTACAAAAACTTGGAGGAATATTTTTTGCATCTGCAGGACGAAATGTCTGTAGAAGTCAAGTCCAAGATTGCTCTAGATATGATATCTTCGCACAGGACAGGAGGAAGGGATGTGACCATTCTTCGTCCTCTTGGAAACAAATCGCTGCTTGAATACGTTAAGTCGGTTGAAGGCAAGAATGAATATCACGATTACACATTATCCATCTGCTGTACCTTGCCACAACATGGCGACAATCCGAATGACTTCACAAGTGACCAAGAATACCTTGAATTCATGGATGCCCTCGGCGAGTCTGAAGAGATCCTTCGTGGCCCCGAACGCCCTAGCAATGAACCCAGCTGGAGAGAGTACGGTCTGAGAATTCTCCGACAACGAGAAAGCCGCAACCTCAGTGGCCAAGCCGCAAGCGTCAACAACGATATCAACATGGCAGAAGCGAACATTGCAGAGGATAGAGAAGACAGTGGCACTGAAAAGGAAATCCGTGCCATTGATTTTCAAGAAGCTGCAACACCAAAGAACTATGCTCAAGCCTCACCAGCAACTGCAACCCCAGTAGCAGCGAAGCCTGCAGCTTCTCAAGACACCCACATGACCGAGGCATCAGAACCCGTCTCTGAAGAATTCGAGACAGATTCCCATTCTATAGAAATGGAAGAAGATGCATCTTGTGCTGTTTCTGAAGCTCCTGTGTTAACACAAACATCTGATGTCAACGTAGCGGCCAGAACTCCTCGAAGGCACAACCACTCATCTTCCTCCGCTACTGTCGTTTCGACTGATACATATGACGACCACAGTACCGTAGCAAGTGAAGGCCATACTCCCACACGACAGGATCCGTGGCCCTTTGTCCAGCCAGCTTTGAACGAATCCATGAATGCCAAAGACATACAATTTCAGTTGACAATGGTTGGTTGGGAAACGATGGTAATTGGAAAGAAAAAATTCCACACGTTTCCAGGAGTTGACATGAATAATTTTAAACCGGGCAAAAATGCATTCCTCCTCGAGAACCTCGTCAATTTTGTAAAGAAGAACAACTACTTTCGGAACAGACAGGAATTCTTCAGTCCATCTTCCGAAGCCAAGCCGGTTGAAACACCACATAAGGTGGCAAGAAAAATCGACGGTGAGCATGAGCAAGAAGATCCTCCTGTATCCCCAATGCATCCGGCGCCAATACCCAAACGTAGCAACAAGACACAATCCAAGCCTTCCACCAACAAACAACCCAAGAAAGCACGCGCCACCAAAAAAGGAACTACTTCACCGAAGCACCAACGTGGACCCCATAGACAGCCCCAGGCGATGAAAAGCTCTCGCCGCAGTCCTCGAGGTTCGAGCCTTGTCACACCAGTGAAGCCTAAGCAATTGACTTCCGATCCATTCTACAAATTCTCCGATTTGATAAAGATTTTGCGGAAGAAATTCGGTTGGAAGTATCACGGAGGCAGTTTGGAGTCGAATTGGTTGTACGTTCGGGGCGATTCTGAATTAGGGAAAACAGGGAAACATGGGGATGATTACTTTCAAGAAGAGTGGGAAGTGGTTGAGTACTGCCTCAAGCACAACTACAAACAAAAATACGAGTGCTTGGAGAAACAACAGCAAGAGGAGGACGAAGAAGAAAAGACCGCAGAAAATGTCGCGGAAGATCCCAATTTCAAAACGCCTCCACCCACCAGGCGCATGGTTGGAGCATCGCAGTAGGGATTGATGATAAATGTGAGAAGCGGGTTATTGCTTTTCCATCACGAATGCATCACGACTAGGTTAAAACATCTATGGTATCATATTCTACACTCCTTAGTTTTTTGGTATTCGGCAGAGTATTAATAAATGTGCGTTTTGAATGGCGTCAATCGTTTCCAAGTCACCTGTTGGTCCATCTTCTTGTTCACCTATCACCTATCATCATAGCAACAGAATAGCAACACTCGATGCACTTTGGACACTACCCCCCTTGCCTTCCAGCCAAAACAAATTCATCAATCTCATGAATCACACTCCGTACAAGAAGATAGCCCTCTTGTACATAGCATCGTAATGAACGAGCAGAAGTATCGTGATCTGCAATGTGACCTAGTTGAACATATAGATAGTTGGAGTTACAATCAAAGTAATATCCTATTTAAATTAAAACATCATCAACAGAAAACCAGAGGACGCTTCAAGCATATTTTTCCTTGTTGGAAGGTGCCATTTCCTTTGGTATGTCTCTCCTCTTGCTGTTTGCCTGCTGTCTGCTTCCAATGCGCCCCGCGGAGAGCTTGGCGCCATTCAAACGCCTCCTGCACCTTTGAGATCTTCGTTCCCTTGGGTCTACCACCCTTGGATCTCGGAGCCCTTGTTGGGTCTAGTACCACCCTTTGATCCCGGAGACGGCGAATTGTCAGCTCCAATAAGTTTCTTAGCAGCCTCACTCTCAAAGCACCTCATCTCTTTGAGAATATTCCATGCATCGTAGAGCTTCCATTTTGTGACGTCGAATTCCTTGAATTGGTGGTCATTGATTTTTTCTTCTTGTTCACGCAGAATGCGCAAGCCATATTCAATTGTCGGCACTGGTACCGGTAGGCTTTGCTCTCTATACTGCCATTAAGGAATCATTGTACTTGGAGTATTTGGCCTTGATGGAGTCACGGAGTTAGTTGGCGACTGTGTCACCATTTTCACCTTCAGGCATTGTCAGATGTATGTTATTGTGAAATAAAAATCTCAATTGACGGGCATCGTCAATCGAAAATTGACGGGCAGTACATTTTTTGTGTACAAGGTCCGCAGAAATTTGACGGCAATGGGCGGAGAACGTCAAATTTGACCCAAATTTGACGGGATTTTGGCGGTCCGTCAAATTTGAAATAACCGGAGGGCTTAAATAATTTTTCACGGCGACGCGCAATTTCTATTCGATTGAGTCGATTGACGGTCCACGGCCTCGGCGCGGCGGGGCTACCACGGGTACGGCTGGAGAGATTTTGGGAAGTTTTGGTCGTCTCGCCGAACGGCAAAATACAAGCTTCTCAGTAGGACCTACGTAGGTTTCTACACGGAAGTAGGCCAAGATGGAAAAAGAGAGTTCCAAGCAAAAAGTTGCTTTGTTTCCCTCGTCGACACAATACTCGTATTGTTGTTACTGATAATCCAACTTGTCTGCACACACTACTTCACTCGTACAGAACCAGTGTTTCCAGATCCGGTTGCATTATGATTTTGTTTGGAGGGTTAGGGATGATTAAGGTTGATGAGAAGGTAGAGACCGACGGGGGACGCAGATTGTCACATATGAAGCTCGTGCAACTTAGAAAAACCGCTATAACGACGTTAATTTTGGTAATAGCGATAACAATCATTGTATTTTCGTACGATCTATACCGGGAGAGAGCTGCGGTAGTTGTGAGTGTCACGGATAAGTGTGAAGACTACGCAACTTACAACGTAACGTCAAAAGGAATCTTTTGGGACGAGAACGTGACTGTTACAACGCACTGTAGGCGAGGGTAATACACGTTGGACGAGATACAGAGCGTACCGAATCCTGAGGCTGCAGGAGGTGTGAGACGAAAACTACAGACGCGGCTCCTCGTCGACGTGATAGGTGCTGCCGCAGTGTATAAATGGATAGCGAACTCATGTAACGTAGCCAGGCGGCAGCTAGTTAAAGCGTTTGGCTGCACTTTGTCAGTGAGTACTCACGCATGGTATGAATCAGGGGTGACTTTTTATACACTCAATTCGAGGGTAATCGATGGTGACACGTTTACAGACTGGGGACCGCAAATGTTAGTACACAGAGGAACTTTCAACGAAAACAACCTGATAGGTGGAGAGGCCGCGTCCACGGTATTCAAATACCAAAAATTTGTAATCGTGTATTACCTTGACCCAACTGGTGAAATGAATACGTTCGATACAGATAGTATGACTAGAGAGAGAGTCAAAATTGTGACGAACGGAGAATGTAAGCGTTGGTATTGCGCCACGCCTTCGGTACCAGGTAGACAGAAAGGACTAAAAGTAAATGCGGTACACGATTCGTTTCCGGCCCTGCCAACCGAAGAAGGATGTATTAACGTGTACGGTGAGGCTGAGGGAGTATGTGCAATATCTGAGCCTGGGTGTTCGTGACAGTGCTGATGGTATGGACAACGTATGTATGTAAATCAATAAATAAATATTGTGATTTGCCGATTTCGTGGCGTTAAAACATCTATGGTATCACATTCTACACTCCTTAGTTTTTTGGTATTCGGCAGAGTATTAATAAAGGTGCGTTTTGAATGGCGTCAATCGTTTCCAAGTCACCTGTTGGTCCATCTTCTTGTTCACCTATCACCTATCATCGTGGCAACAGAATAGCAACACTCGATGCACTTTGGACACTACCCCCTTTCCAATCTACCCCCTTTTCTATTCATTGATTTCTTTTCCCTACCAGTACCGGTACTGTATGTGCAACCGAGACATATTATCAGAGACGTACTGTATCTACACGACATCTCTAAAGTACTGGTACTGCACCTGTAGTTATTGCGATGAGACAAATTGGGTCTGTTTCTGTTCTTTTCACCATTGACGTGTGAATGGCAAGACGATTGATTGATTCATTCATTCATTCGCACGTGTCATGGAAGCTGCTGCTTTCCATATCCTAGAATCAGAAGATACAAACAGAGGGAGCACCGGTACCTGGAACCGTACTTTTGTTGCTTTCCGTAACATTCCACCTACAGTATTATTGTACCTGTAGTTTTGATAAGGCAAATTGGGTCTGTTTCTGTTCTTTTCACCGTTGACGCAAGACGGTTGTTTCATTCGCACGTGTCATCAGAATGGAAGCTGCTGCTTTCCAAATCCTCAATTAATTAATATCAGAAGATACAAACAGAGTGACGACTGCACTCAACAACAGTCTGTTTGCAACGGCATCTACCTTTGCGATGAACGGTTCTGATTCAAAGAGGGTTGGTGCCCAAATCTTACCTTACACCAAGAAACTTCGGCTGGAAAAAGCCCACTCTGGAAGCTGGGAAGGAGAGTTCACACGATGGCTTGGATGTGTTTGTGAGAAAATTCATCCCAAACCCATCGAAGTCTTTTGGCTGCAGTGCGATGGACCTTGCGGATCGTGGTACAACGTCAGTCCTTCTTGTATAGGAATGAGCGCGTTCGAAGCTGAAAGACTCTCATTTTGGAATTGCCCGCCCTGCCACCAAAAGTATAAACGATTTCCAACAACGGCTCAACGTTTTCTAGAATTGCCAGATCATCTTATCTACAATATTTTGCAATTTTCAGCATATGGACCGGAAATGATGTATATTATACGTTCCCTCTCACTTGTCTGTTCGATGACAAACCATGCTATTCATGGCAAGCAATGGAACGGTGTGTGGGCAATCCTTGCATCTCAATACTGTGCCGACAAAAACGAGAGACCTCGAAAGCGCTCTCGACGAAGGATATTACATGAGCTGCAACCATTATCAACGGTGCCTCTGGAACCAAAGATTCAAGTTCAAGACTATTTTATTTCGCTGTGTCAGCGAACCGAAGACGCTCACATGGCTCTCGAAGCATTATTGAACTCGGACCAAACCCCATTATCAGTAGAGAAACTCCGTCGAATCCTTGACCAAGGTATTTTAATAAACCGACGATCGCAATCGGGAAGGACATTCTTACATGAGTGCTGTACCGCAGATTACGTTGATGCTCGAGTAGTTCATCGATGCGTCCAAGAACTGTTGACAAGGTATCAAGCAGACCCGAACATTCTTACCACTGGGGAAACGGACGGAGATAGGCCAGCAATATTCTTTTCCATTTCTCGTCTAATGCCCAGTGTGACGGCAGCCCTGATTCAGGCCGGTGCAAACAGTAAGGTACAAGTTACGGGAACTTTTCGTCTTGTTTCCAACCCAGCAGAGACATTCAGCGGGACTTTCACACCGGTGGAATTTGCCCGACGACTGAAGGAAGAAGAAGGAAGACTTGAAGCTGAAAAGATAGCAAAGCCGCTGTCGCAATATTGGCGTAACCGATTACGCAATCTCATTGCAACGCTTTCCGAAACATGACCAGATTGGCATTTTTTCAGACGAGGTCTGCGTATGATTGGCCCTCCTATTCTTGCCAGATCCATTGTCAGAGGAATGAGGCTTCGTCAGATTTTTGCGGTCGTAAACGGGATTCGTTGTGTTCTAGAGTGCACACATCTATGAGCATTAGAAACAAGTTTTTGTGGTGTCGAAATTGCTGATTGGTACAGATAGTTTATTGCACGATGTTGCAATTGCTGGATCTTCGAAATTGGTACACAAGCCATACACAAGTCAAACATGAGCCATTCCTTGATAGCTCCGACTTGTCGAGAAGGTACCCTTCGTGATTGTATCATTTCAGTGGTAGAGCCCTCTGCGAATGGGACGTAGACGTTCTATCATTATGTATAGAATAAAAGTGGGTTTGAATATTATACATGTTTAGTCCTAGGACTAGTTTATTATGATCACCATCTAAATGAAAGCTGCCTTGTTGTAAAGCAAACCTTCATGCTGCAGCTGCGGTTGTGGGATCGTCCAAGCTCAAATTAGTAAGTTGCTCCAAAATATCCTCCAGTGACATTAGCTCAGCTTCAAACCAATGCTGACCGAATGTTCCATGGCAGCCAGTAGCCTCTTCAATACCACACTCGACCTCTTGACGTCCCCCAATAGAAGAGATAGCGTGGCCAAGTTATTCAAAACACACATGCATGGAAGGGTTTCTGTTTCAAATGATCGTTGATCTTGCAGCTGGTGCGCGATCTCATAAAAGTGCTTCGCTGCGTGGAGGTTCTTCATCGATCGTTGTCGAAGACCAAATAGATGGTGGGCAATGGCAAGGTTGTAAATTGCACTCATTGATAGGATGGGAACGAATGATGGGGCAGGTAGAATCGATGACTCGTTGTTTCCGTGAATGACAAACGCACTCCTGCAGAGCAAGGACTCATCAGTTTCGAAAGAGAATTGCGACAAGAAAGAGGCATCTGCATCATTGGCTGTCAATGATATCGTCTCAAGAGTCCACGCGAAGGTATGTTGCTGAGATGATGCTGTTGATCAATACTGTGTGCGAACTCTATTCGATTTGCTAAACGACCTTCCCAAATTTTAAATATTTTTCGTTTATTGGCTTCCATGCTGCGTTGCGTTGTTGGCGGCAGTCAAAGGCCGCATCGTCAAATTACTTTAACTGTATTTCAGTTGCCCCCTCGCTTTCCAAATTCAAGGATAGTGGTATTTTGAATTTTTCATGCTGCGTTGGCGGCACTCGGAGGCCCCATCATCAAGCGCAAAATGTTTTCCCAGCAAATACCCTGATTCTTGACACCACTCATCGAGTGATACGAGTGTCGAACATGCGGCAAAATTGCCATGAGCTCCTCTAGAAATAGCTTGGATATCCCATGATCTCCTAGAACGAGGTAGATGTTTGCCACGTTGTTCAATATAGACAAAACCGAGTGTATACTCGACTCCGTAGTTTCTTCTTGGATTTGCAGTCCGTACGCGATTTCATAGTAGTACAATGCCAGTCGTAGTTTTTCGATGGACCCTTCGTGAAGCGCCCACAGATGAGTTGCTATGGCAAGATTGTAAGTAACGGAGGCGGCAATAGTGGCATCATGAAATGATCTGGTCCAAAGCCCTTCAGCCGCAGAGTTAGCATCTTTTCTGCATATGCTGAGGGCGGTCTTGCATAGCATGTTGTCATCGGTTCCGTTTATATTGCGAAACTTCTCGTGTGTCGAAGTTTTCTGGTAGCACTCCAGACCGAGAAAGTCCAGTTGCAGATCAAGCCTTGTCCGAAGACATGATGAACCATCTTGTTGGTGAATCAAGATTGCCTTTGTGACACAAACAGCGTCTCGAAAGAAGCCTGCTGCTTCTGCGAACTTGTGGTCCAGCAGGCGATGGAGTCCGGAGTCATTCAATTGTATCGCAGATTGTTCGTTGTCCATTGTTATTGTCGAAGTGTTTTGAAAAGTGAGCAAAAGATATGAAAAGTAAAATTCAGGTTTTTGAGAATTTGAACGACGAAAAGTTCGCGTTTTGGTCGTAATTTGTCTTAGTTTCTGTTTGATGATTTAGCTCCTAAGTAACCACAGTGTGGACTCTATGTAACCGCAGTTCCACCATTGATAGAAGGCTCAACCGAACGGATGGAATAAATGTTCCTTCCTAGAGGCATGTCCGACGACTTATTAACAGAAGCCGCGCTATAATAATTCAACGAATAGACGACATTTTCTGCAAGGCTTTCTGCTTATTTTCACGATAAGCTGGAATGCGTTTACTTTTCTTCGAGAAAGTTTGACGGGAAATTGATCATGTTCTTCGATATGGCATCATCCATTGTTTTCGTTTGACGGTCCACATGATCTGGTTGTTCTCATGTGACGTAGCTGGCAATAGGAAAGCTGCAAAGCTACAAACTGGGACAGTATCAGCAGTCTTTGCTGCTGTTCAACATGCGTCAGAATTGAATCCTTTGGGACTCTCCAAATGCCACAACTTTTTCTCTAGAAGTACCAGCCTCTCGTTTCAAGATAGACTACTCGAATTATACTTCAAATCTTCCACTTTGACACGAGCAAGGTAGTTGTTGAACCAAGATCCCAAATAGAGATACTCACCAAATATCGTTGCTTCTGATAGCCAAGGTGCCACATTGGTTACGTCCCTATATATTTCAATTAGGTCCCCTGTAGCAGCATCAAAGACTGCTAGGGCCGAGAACTTGGGAATGGCCGCGACGAAGTTTTTGTATGGGACCAAAGCTCCAATGATGGACTTTATAAATGGTTGCCCAGACACTGCGTTAAGCAGGCTAAAGGGTCTCGAATACTTCGAACCAAGGCCAAACCAGTAGCAGTCTCGTACTTCTCCTGTTGGTAGCCGACCTGCAGTGTGAAGATTGTCACCAGTGCCTGGCATGGCGTAGATGAACGGTTCTGGCTCCATCGCCCGTGCCTGTAGCGAATACTTCAGCACCTGCACTCCGGCTACTACGATCAAATATTTCTGGTCATAGGAAAGTGCGATACCATTCGCCATGAAAATGCCTGTCGACACCACCTCGACCTGTCCAGTTTCCTTTGTGTACCGCATCAGTCGACCTGCTGGCTTTCCATCCAATGCTGCGTAAAAAATGCGCCGTCGTTGAAAGGTTTGACTAGTTTCCGTAATGTACAAGGAACCATCAGGTGCTTGTACAATACCATTTAAAAGGTGAAAATGAGTATCTTCGGGATCGGTCTTGGCTCGAGTCGCTAGGATGTGGCGCATTGCAGTGTCTTCGTAGATTCCAGTAATCATTAAAAGTCCAATGTACGGATCGGCAATGACCAAGACATCTTCATCTTCCTGCGTAGTCGAGGAATCGTCACTGTGGCTAGGATCAACAGTTGAACGTTTGACCAGCTGCATCCCCAGAGGTCGACCGCAAATTGCTTCGGTGTTGGATGTGTCGGCAAACCAACCTTTTCCACAGGAAGTCGAATCGGAGAGAGGAATCGACCCAGTGCGAACCAAACTGACCCAAGATAGGTCACTGCGATTGTTGTTCTCGGTTGTCTCCTCAATTCGAACTATCCGACCATCCGTCAATCCTGCAAATAGCACCTCTTTGCCCGCATAGTTGCCAAGTACCAGGCTTTCGGGTCCCAACAAATCGCCTTTGCCAATAATTTCAACCTTTCCGGTCAGACGAGAATCATTGGAGGGAAATGGTTGCAATGGGGGTAGAATGTTTGCCACTGGCCACAGATTGAGGGAATACAGTCGCCACTGAATGGTCACTGCCAAAATGACGACGCCAAGAATGAGCTTGGAACTCGAATTCATGCTATTATTTTCAATTTGCTGGTGATAGTTGTTGCATTCATACCGATGTATATAATATTCGGTTATTTGCGCGATTGCTCATCCTTCTCAATCGCTTTGGATTTCGCAGACTCCAATGGGGCCTAAAAGAGTTTCAATGATGTTTTTGGGCTGACAGTTGTTACTAGCTGTTGGCCCCCAATCCCCCGGGACTAGGGTAATCTTAATAACTATCTATTCCTAGACTTCAAATTCACTCTGTCAATTACAGAGCAGTCTTTTCAAAAGGAATGAGCTGCAACTGAGCTGCAGCTCCTTTACCAACTTCTTTCACAACCTCTTTTGGTACGTAGCTTTCCACTGTCCTGCTACTGTACCTTCTTTGCATACGTACTTGGGCGTTCCGATCAGTCCGTCCTTCGCTAGCCAACACCTGCAGCGATTGCTCATCCTTCTCAATCGCTTTGGATTTCGCAGACTCCAATGGGGCCTAAAAGAGTTTCAATGATGTTTTTGGGCTGACAGTTGTTACTAGCTGTTGGCCCCCAATCCCCCAGCGCAAGCGCTGGTTTCCTCCATTCGGCCATCTTGTTGCCGCCCAGGGTGTGGTGGGTGGGAAAAAACGCTAGTGCCCGACGTGATCAACAAGAACATCGGTCAAGCGTTGCATCAAAGGCTCGGACTGTGTGTGGAGATACCGAAAAACTTCATCGGAGCGCCACCGACCGAGTAGTTTGATGAGACTAGTCGGGATATTGCCTTCCAGAAGCGCGGTAGCCCCGGTGCATCGCAGAGCACCGATTGTGGGAGGTCGATCGACCTCCACGGAGAGAGCAACTGCTCTCAAATATTTTGTCATCATTCGATCTGTGACATTGCAAGGGACTCCAAACTCGGAGTAGTAGGTGAACAGGGGGGTGTCGCCAGTTGTGTGTTGACTCTGTCGAAGGTGTCGGACAATGGCAATCAGCGTAGCTGTTGGGTTGTCACCATTTAATGATGTGCCCAAACCGATCTTTTCGTCTGGCACCGCATTTTTTTGTTTGTCGAATATCAGACCGGCGAATGTCACAAGTGACGTGTCCAGGAGGCGAAGGGGAATGACGTCGCCACGAAATTCTGCGTCGTTGATACGAAAAAACACTTGCTTCAACTTGAAAGGAAATTGCGTTCCCGCTTTTGACAGAAATTCGCCAGGA